TATATATGTATATATATGTTGTGTGTGTATATATATATGAGTTCTATAAATATCTTTGTATCCAGAAAATATAAAATGGAAATATTTTATATTTCTATAAACATCCTGTATCCAGAATATATAAAATAGAAATCAATCACAGAGGTTATCCAAAAGGCAAGTACACTATATACAGCTGTTCAAGTCTCAGGGAAATGCAAATAAAACCTACGGTACAATAACACTACATGCCCAGCAAAATAGTTAAAATTTTAAAAGACTGTATCAAGTATTAGTGAAGTTGTGGAACAACCTGAACTCTCCTCCGTTGTTGAGAGTGTAAACTGGAATAATCACGTTGGAAAACTGTTCAGTAGTATCTGTTAAAATCCAATATATGTATATCCTATGATCTAGCAATTCCATACCTATTCTTATACCCAATAGACATATGTTTACCAAGACATATACAGCATATTCATAGAACTTTTTTAAAATAGCCTTACCCTAGAAACGGTTCATATGTCCATCAAAAGTAGAATGGAAAAGTAAATTATAATATATTCACACAATGGAATAGTTATAGGAATGAACAAATTACAACTATGCCCCACAATATAATGACTCTCACAAACATAATATTTAATGAAATGTGACACACCAAAGAGGACATTTGAAATGATTCCATTAATATAAAGTTCAAAATATGCAGTATTCGCCTCTAGTATTAGAAATGAGAGTGGTTCCCTTGTGGGAGGGAATAGTGACTAGAAGAGAGCACAAGAAGGCACTGTGGGACACTGGCACTTACGGCTTTTTTATTTGTTTTATGTGTGTTGAATGAATGAATATATTGAATTTGGGACAATTTGTTGAGCTTATGAGTTGTGCCCTTTCCTGTATATTATACTTTAATTAAATTTTAAAACATGGTAGGGTAACTGTTAAAAGATAGGCATAACACACATACCTTCCAAAAAAGAAAAAAGAAAAAGAAAAAGAAAGAAAGAAAAAAGGAACAAAATGAAAAAAGAGAAGAAATCTCAATCAAGAAAGAGGAAAATGAGGGGGAGAGGGGAGGGAAATAGAACAAATATAAGGTATGTAATAAGATAGTAGATATAAATCTACATATATAAAAGCCTAAATGACCATTACGACCAGTGGACCAAACAACCAGTTGACCGGTTGCTATGACACGCACTGACCACCAGGGGGAAGATGCTCAATGCAGGAGCTGCCCCCTGGTGGTCAGTGCACTCCCACAGCCAACCTCCCATGGCTAGCCAACCTCCCATGGCTGGCCAACCTCCCACGGTCCCTCCCCCCAGCCTGTGGGCCCCGATCGCCCTGATCAATCATCAGCCAGGCCAAGGGACCCCACCCATGCACAAATTCGTGCACTGGGCCTCTAGTTTTAAAATATTGGCAGACACTATAAATTTAATACACAAAAGTCTCTTGTTAGAATATATATGCATTGAAGCTATTTTTTTTTTAATTTGAGCACCTTTTATGTGCCAGCACTGTTCTAGGAGCTGAGGGTATAACAGTACACAAAACAGACAAATATTCCCATCTTCATGGAGGTTACATTCTTAGCAGAAGAGACAGATAATATATAAACAATAAAATAGCCACTGTGTGAAATGGTAGTAAACGTAATGGGGAGGAGGGAAATAAAGCAAGGAAAGAGAATTAGGGAAGTATTAGAAGTTGTAATTTTTAAAGTGCTCATGGACAACCTCAAAGATCTTAAGCAGATGAGGAAGTGAGCCATATATATACCTAGGGTAAATATTTCTGGTGAGAGGGGGAAAGTAGCGGTACTACACTGAGGCAGAAGCCATTAGCTGTGTTGGTGGCAAGAGGCCAGTGTGACCAGCAGAGTGACTGAAGGAGTGTGGAGTTGGAGATGAGGTCAGAGATAACAAGGGACTTTTCTAGACTATGGCAAGAACCTTGGCATTTACTCTAAATGAGATTTTTTAAAAACCAATGGAAGGTTTAGAGCACACGAATGGAGTTATTATACTTGTATCTTAAAGAACCATCCTGGCTTCTGTCTTGAAAACAGAAGGTAGGATAAATCAGGGGACCTGTCAGGAGTTTGTTGCAATAAGTAAGCTGAGAAATGACGGTAGCTTGGAGGAGGGTGCCATAGCAGAATCGCTGAGATGTGTTTAGATTCAAGATGTAACATGAAAGTAGAGCTGTGGGTTGGAGGTGGGATATAAGAGAGAAAGGAGGTGAGGATGTCTGCAAGGGTTTGGACCAGAGCAACTGGAAGGATGGAATTGCCACTTTTTATTGAGTTGTGGTAGATTTCAGGCAGAGCAGATTTGCAAAGAGAAGTCATGAATTTGGTTTTGGAATGCAATATGCTTAGACAAGCAAATGGAAATGATGTATCTAGATGGAGTATCTAGCATTCATCAGAGATGTCTAAGTTAGAGCTGTAACTTTGAGAGTTGTCTGTGTCTGAAAATGAAGTCACAAACATTTACAGTTGACTCTGCCAAAAGGAAGAATTAAGAAAGAAAAAGAAAGAAAAAAATGTCCAAACTAAGAATTAAGCAACTTTGTGTTCAGCATCTTTGTTTTGTTTTGGAGAAATTCACTGCTCACTCCTTAAGAAAAAGCAAGACCTTATGCCTCTGGGAGCTGACTTCATGGAGATAGTTTGGGGCCTATGTGCTAACTGACGTCTTGTCAGAGGATAAAATCTTGTTACTGGGTTCATTTAATTAATAGACACAATTCAATTTGCTTATTGTTTATTTTGCAGATATATTACTACTTATTTCTGATTAATAGTTCATGTTTGAAAATGATTCTGAATCACCCATACTCTAAATATTAACCTATGCCAGCTGATAAAAAGGAGGAAGTTTTATGGTTATGACAAAATTACAGCTCTGTGAAAAAAAAGCAGTACCTGCTTTTAACAGGCTAGCTGCTTGTGCTAACACCACAGTACATTTTTCCACCTGGCAGACCATCTTCTGGCTGATTCCAACATTAATGAATATTAAATGTTGACATGCATTTAGTCAACTTGTCTAAGAAATTTTACTTTAAGGGGGGAAAAAATGCACAAAAGTAGATAAGCTCATTTAGGTGGAGGAAGGAGCCCCAGGGACATACCCTAGAGGACTTCTGCCTTTGAGGTCAGAGATTAGAGCAAGAACCATCAAAGAAGAGGGAGGAGTTGCTGGTTCACTAGGGAACTAGCCTCCTTCATAAAAATGCGTCAATCCTTACCACAATCACGTAAGCATAGGTGCTATTGATCATTATCCCAACTTTAGAGACTCATAGCGGAGCTTCTGCAAGGAGAAGTGGTTTGCAAAGGGTCCTAGAGACCAAGATGGTAAACCATTTTAGTGCATGCAGTCTGCCTTCTCCTATTCTTGCCTCCACTGCCAGTGAGGGGTGTGAGTGCATTTATGATAGTGCTCGTTCTCCAGGGGTTTCTCTGTTTTCCTTGCAGGTGGGTATGTGGAGGCCTTGGAGGTGACTAAAGAAGCACCAGGCCAAGGGGCCTTTAGGCCACAATCCATCTCAGAAGAGACCTACGATGATGTTGAGTGCCCTGGGAGGAAGGAGTAAGTGCACCCCAGCCCCTCAGCAGTGTGGTGAGACCTTAAAGGCTCCATGGGACAGATGAATGGTCTTTGTTTCTTTTCTCCCCACAGATCAAAGTCGGACTTCTCCAACTCATTTGCCTCAGATAGTGGTAAGGAAGGAAGACATTTCTGAAACTGCCAGTAGCAACTGCTGAGTGCTCGGTGGCTGATTAATGATAACTTACCTTTTGTTTATATTTTAATAATACCTGTTGGGTGGGTGACAGGGAGCTCAGGGCAGTGCAGTGGGCTAGGGTATATGTGAATAAATTCACTGAGATCTGTGAAGGTGAAGGCACTGGTAATGGGGCTCTTGCGGCAAAGAAGCAACATTGCTGTGAAATGGCATCCTTCCTGATCTCTTCACAACGGAAGTCTGATTGTAGGAATGTTTTTACGTAAAACACTTTCACAGCTTCCCAGGACTTTTACGGTCCACCTTAACATGGTCTGAAGGCCTTGAGTGGGTTGCTTCTACCTCCCTCTGCAGCCTGTGTTCTCCCTTGGTACTGTCTTCACTCTGAGATCCAGTCATGCTGACGTTTTAGCTCCTCCAACTTGCCAGGCTCCCAAGCTCCCACCAAGCTCCTGCCCCAGGGTGTTTGCATATGCTACTCCCTCTTTCTGGAATTTTCTTTCCTCCCCCTGGACCCCTTTGCCTAAGTGACTCTTGACCTTTCTTCTCATTTCAGCTCAATCATTACTCCCCCAGTGAACACTCTCCTTCGTGTACAATCTCAGAGTAACAAGGCTCTCTTTTTCATAGTGCCTGTCACTTACAATTTTTTTTAAGATATTTTATTGATTTTTTTACAGAGAGGAAGGGAGAGGGATAGAGAGTTAGAAACATCGATGAGAGAGAAACATCGATCAGCTGCCCCCTGCACACTCCCTTTCTGGGGATGTGCCCGCAACCAAGGCACATGCCCTTGACCGGAATCAAACTTGGGACCCTTGAGTCCACAGGCCAACGCTCTATCCACTGAGTCAAACCGGTTAGGGCTGTCACTTATAATTTTATATTTATATGATTTCTTTGATTAATGACTCTCTTCCCTTAGCCCCTAGCACAATGCCAGGTACTTGTTATTTAAATATTTTTTGAATGAATGAACGAAAGGTGCTACTCTGGTTGTTTTTTATCCTTCTTAGAATGCCAGGATTTTAGATGGAGAAACCATCTTAGAGGTCATTAAACAGAGATGTTCAATAGCTCCCCTAAACTCACTGTGTGAAGTCGAGTTCTGAACGTGAAAATTCTCCATTGTCAAGGTGGATTCAAAGATTATCTGTGTATATTAAGCTTTTGTGTTGCTCCATGCTGTGAAGGGAAAGAATATCCAAGATGAATTAATTCTCCATTATTTCCCCAGAATTCAACACAATGTCTGATGTGTAGGCTCTGATTGCTACATGTTAAATATGCCAAAGGGGAGGGCAGAAGAAAGGAATCTGTTGATAAACCAACTTTCATTGACTTGGACTCAAGGGTGGAAGCGAATATTAATTTTCATTTGTATATACTACCTTAATAAGGTTTAATTATTTTTACCATGTGCTTATAAAAATATGTACATATGTTTCAATAAAAATTATTTAACAAACAAACAAAAGATCAAAGTACCTAAGCACCTGGTCAATATCCAATAATGTTTTGCTAAATATGAATCTGAACTATTGTCATTATAATGAATGAATTTTTTTTAATTTCAGAAGAAAATAGTAACGAAATGTATGAAGATGTATACAAAACAAAGAGCAACTCCACAAACATAGAGTGAGTTTCTCTCTTTCTTGGCTTCCTACCTAATGGCATGTCCTGCTAGCTTAGGATGATGAGCTTAGGAAGTAACTCCCTTCCCCATCCCTACCATCTTTACGGAGGATTTGCACAGAGAATGGAGGTAAATAGAACACCCGTAATTGTACACAATCACATGGTATAAATTTCAAATTACATTGCTTTCTCTTTTGAGAAAATGTCCATCTCCCAGAGTAGGGACTTTGATATTGTGTTAGAAAATAAGTGAGAGATAAGTAAATGTCAACAAAAACTTGCTTCCATTCCATGGTTTTCAAGAACAATATTTGTTCAAGTGGGCATTGTTTGTCAAGTTTAGTTATCAGGGGCACGTTGTGGAAAGGAAAACAGCAATGGTCAAAAGCAAGAAGTTAGAGGGTTGAAGGAAAAAAAGAGGATCCATGCTGGGTGGAATGACCTGCATGTATCATTCCCTCTCCCTACCCCCAAAAAACCCAAGAGCATATTTGAAAAAACTTTTTTCATCAGCTGGGTAGTCAGTTATTGTTGTATGATATCATTTGGTAAATTAAAAATCAGTGATGTGAATTTTAGAAGCAGGACTTTCTATAAGTTATTTCTAGTATAGTTTGTAAACCATGCTTCCCTGAGTCATCATCTCTAAAAGGAAGACTTTGCTCCATAAACTGCAAAATAGAGACCATTTAGGGTAAACAAACGTTTGTATTGAAATGTAATAATTCCCTTCATGGATGAGTGGCTTGTGCTACTTCATATTGGCACCAAAACAGAGAACAGAAAGTTGGTGAGGCATTTTCCTGCTCTTCCTTGGGTGGGTGTTCCAAGCCTCTGGCCCTTTTCCTACACCAGCCTTCCATTTCTAGTACTCTCTCAAACACTGTTTCTACCCTCTGATTTCTCTTAGTTTAGATGGCAAAGCACTTAAGAGACTACAAAGATTCTTCAAGAAAGAAAAGGATAGATTTAAGATGAAGACAACCAAGTTGAAAGAAAATGTAAGGTAAAAAAAAAAAAACCCTCTTCTATTTCTCTTTCCAGGAGACAGTTGGCAGTGCTGGTCTCATAGTCAGTCATACAGCCGGATGGTCTCCATCCTGCTCTCAGACACAGTGGGGAGCGTACCAGAAAGTAAAACCAAAGGCCCTGGCTATCACTTGCCTTCTTCTTGCCCATTTTTGAGTGCACCACACTCACAGATGCTAATGGGAAAAAAAATGACAAAGTCCCTTTTGAAGAAATTGATGAGAAAAGGTTATATGTACTCAAGGGTAGAGGGAAGTCTTAAGCAAAATCCGGAAAGGAAGCTGACCTCATCACCCTTGGCATATACTCCTGGTATCAGTAAGCATTATGCTATTAATTACAGCCCTTTTTGCGTTCTTACTCCATCAAGTTTCAGTGGTTTTTATTTGTCTACACTTTGTAATCCAATTCGCCTCTCTTGAGAAAGGCAATGTGTGGAGAGGGAAGATGAACTTTTCAGCTGAATGGTCCATCTATCTCCAAGTCTTAGGCCTGGAAAGGACCCTCCAAGGTCACCCGCTAATGACCAATGTTTGGGAGGGATACATTTTCACTGGTAATAGGAAGAGATGGAGGCCTAGAGTCTGGATTCTAGTTTCAGCTCTTCCATTTATTCAATGTGTAACTGGGCAATTCACTTTGTGTTTGCACCCATACAGCCTGTTTCCTATTGCATACAGTGAAAGGGAGACCTCGTAGTCTCTGGAGGCACTTCTCTCCCTCATCTAGACAGATAGGTGTGTAGATATACATGCAGCTCTGTATTGTACGAGGACAGGAAATGGTAAAATAATTTGCCCAAGGTCATTACAAATACTGACATGGAATTATGTTATTCTACCTTAAAGTGCTTTTCACTGATAAAGCCTCCAAGTTATGCAGCTTTAAGTCTAATTGTCTGTTGGATATAGATCGACCAAGAGATCCAATAGTGACCACTTATACCCCAGTAGAATGCAGGGTTTATGAATCGCAGTCCTGGCTGTGGAGAAAGAGGGCGTTTGGCTCCAGCAGTCAATGAGACCTAGAGGCAGACCCTGGCACTAGCCGGTTAGATGCTTCCAACAAAGATGATTAGCATGACACCCACAGTCCCTTATAAATAGGACCCAGTGAGAACGCTCTTCGACTTCCATTACCCAGTCTGGTCTTACAGACACGCCAGCAGGATCACTGAGCATCCATATGTCCTGGGCACAACCGCTAGGTATGTGCATCCTTCCAGAAGTATCTCAGTAAGATAAGATAGGCATTAGGATTCACTTTAGAAATGAAGACACTGAGGCTTATATGAAGGTGAACTGATTTTCCCAAAAGTGCTGTTCCTTTGGATATTTCTTTATCACGTGTGTTTTTTTTTTCCTTTTCACACAGTGTCACATTAATTTATGTTTTCTCTCCCTCACTAAATCCCAAGCTACTTCAGGACAGAAACTGTGTCTAATCATGTAGTATACCCAGCACCTGGGCCTGTAGGGCTGAACTTAAATAATTGCTTTAAATGAATGGATTTTTTTTCTACCACATCATATTTCCTTCCATGTGATCCTAACTGAGAGATTTAAGGAGAAGCCAACCATCTGTCTGGGACAAATGTCCTGACCCACTTAGCAGTTTACCATCTTCCAGCTCCACCTGGCCTGGAATTCTGCTCTAATCCCTTTGGCTTATGCATAGACGTAGGCAGGGCCCAGTGTCTCCAGAGGGCTGTGTGCATCTGATGGCCATCTTGGAAGTTTAGAAGGCAGAAACAGAATCCTGGATGGAGAAGGGCAGGGCGGTGGGGCAGCCTGAAGCTGTCTGGTAGGAAAGGGGTATAAGTGGTCACTTGGGATAAATAAGCTCATCGAAAAAGTGGGGAGAAGGTCAAAACACAGATGCAGGGAAGGTAAGCTCTGCCCACATCTTTGACTAGAGACATCAGTATCAAGAAACCTAGTCATCACTGTGCTATCCTGAACATGGCTTTCTTTCCTAACCCTTCTGTGCCTTTTGTCCATAACAGTGCGTTTTCCATTTCGCTGCCGGATTTAGGTAAGTGACATTTACTTATTTCTGGCACAAAACCACACAGATTGGCGTAGTCTGGGGCTGGGAAAGAGAAGCAGTCATCCTGCCTGCACTCCACATTTAATGAAAAATTGACACATCCAAGTCAAAGAACAAATTTTACACAACAGTAGTACTGACTTTGGGGAAGATGAGTATCATTTCTCAAGTGCCTACTATATCCCAGGCCTCTTAAAATCCCAGAAAAAAAAAGTTATTATCATCCCTTTTTAGGGAGGCTCTAGGATCCACATCCCTACTTTAGTGATCTGGAATTTGTACTCAGGTCTCTTGGATTATGAAGCTTTTGCATTTGAATTATACCACACAGCCACCTGAAGGTTTGATAGCCAGATCTCCCTAATTACAATGTAGTAAGTTGAGCACGATCATGTTGTGGCACACACCCTAACTGAATCAAGGCTGGGTTGTTGCAATATTGTTTGCTTTGCTGTAAAAACAATAGTGCACAAATTAGCACAGTGCCTTGCACCCAGTAGGCTCTCAACACATGTCCCGTTAAGTTTAATCTGTTATTAAAAGAGGGCCATGTCTTCTGTTGGATTTTGTGGGCTCTAGCCATGGTGGCTGCTTTAATTTCACTCTGACTTGGCAATTCAAATATATATTGTAGTCCACATATATGAGTTTGCCGAACAAAATTTTAAAAGATTATATACACCTGGTCAAACTACAGGTCTCCCAAAATATCTATGTTAAAAAAAAAAGGCCAACTTAGAATAGACATGCATTGTACCCCATCCAAATTTATGAGTAATTGAATGTGAATTATAAATAATTATGCCAGAAAAATTTCAAATTCACTCAGGTGGTGAATCACTTGAACATTATGGGTTTCTATGTAGAGCACCAAGGAATGTGATTATCCTAAAATAAACATGTCTAATAATGACTATGTACTAAGTCAGATTCCATTTTATGCACAATTGTTATAAAGGATCAGTTACCAATGGTTTGAAATAAAAATTGTGGGAGGAAAAATCAACATTAATATTCTATTTAACTCGTATTTTTCCTTAGGAATTAAGAAAAAGCCTCTCACTATTCTAGCAGTTATAACATCTTTTTTAAAAAGTTAATTCCAAAGAGGGAAGAAGGGGTTAGGGGGCGGGGAGAGAGACAGACAGACAGACATCGATGTGAGAGAGATACAGCAATTGGTGCCTCCCATACCTGCCCTGACTGGGGATCAAACCCACAACCTAGGTATGTGCCCTGACCAGGATCAAACCTGCAACCTTCTGGTGCAGGGGACGATGCTCCAACCGAGCCACACAGGCCAGGACTCAGTATAACATCTTTATCCAGGTCTAGGATGATGGAAACCTAGTTTAAAACTGATCCTTTCAGCAACTCACATTTCTGGAATCAAATTAATCTAAATATGTGTGTGTGCACATTTGAGATCTGAGGGCATCTGTGTGTTTTTTTAGTACTTCAGTTGAATCTCTTCCCAAATGAGAACTTTCTCATTCTTTGATCCTTTCAGCCAATCTGTATTCTGTGATCAGGCTTTGATAAAAGAGGCTTGGGGATGTGCCTGGATAATTAGGTAATTGTGTGCAATTTGAGAAGCCAGGGTTCTATAAACCCTACCTTATAATGGACTGTTTTGATCCTATCTTGATTCTAGAACTTAGGTCCCAGGAAGTTATTATGCATGCTGACGTGACCATCAATGAAAAAGAGTCAAAGTAAGTCCTTTTACCTTCTGTCCATCCCTGGTATTTAACCCACGTCCTGGTGTCTTGTTGCATATGCATCTTTGGTTCTTGGATGAAAATCAACTTGTTACATACCCCCAATGAGAATGGAAAACAATAAATAACATAGATGCTCTAACAGTGGAAGTTGACAAGGAAGCAAAGAGTTGACCATAACATTCACATGGTTAGCATGGGTATAAAATGATGTGATCTTTCTGGAAGATAATTTGGCAATGTATATCTGAAATGCCCAGACCCTTTACTTAACCCAGTAATTTTACTGCAAGCAACTATTTCTATTTAAGAAAAAATAACCATAAAGAATAAATTATGCACAAAAATATCGGTGTCAGGGTTATTTATAAAAATGAGATGTTTAAAACCACCCAAATAACCAATGATTTTATAAGTATACTAGAGGCCCGGTGCACAAAAATTTGTGCACTTGGGGGGGAGGGGGGTCCCCCAGCCCGGCCTGTGCCCTCTCGCAGTCTGGAACCCCTCGGGAGATAACGACCTGCTGGCTTAGGCCTGCTCCCGGGTGGCAGAGGGCACGCCCAATCCCTAGGTGCAGCCCCTGGTCAGACTCAGAGCAGGGCCGATTGGGGAGTT